CGGGGGGGCTGTGAGGTGCGACGCGGCGCGTGAGAGGCAAAAAGGCGGGAAAAGGCTGCTGAGGTGGCGGTGCCGGCTCAGCGACTGTGACAGGAGCAGCACCGGCACATTTATGGCCTTTCAGCTTTATAAATTTACAGTTGTTGAAGTATTTTTTTCCCCGAAAGAGTGATGTGAAAGCTGCTGTCGGTGTCTCGAATGAGAATATCTACTTATTTTTAAAAAATTCCCACGCAAATCAGATGCTATCAGCATCCTGAATTTGTCTTAAAATAAGTGAGGACATTCAAATATTGTCTGGAAAGACACGAGGGTGTTTAAATCTAATATATAATTAGATGATGATATGGCTTTTTGATTGTACACCCGTCACACTCTTGAACTTTTTTCTGTCAGTGCATTTTTTCAGGTGTTTTTTGTAAAATGTCAATGCAGTTGACTCTTCCTATACTGCCTGCTGTGGGATAAGAGAAAAACGGAGCAGTAAGAGTTAGGACAAAATCCAGTGACTTTGTAATGCTGAGGGGTGGCCCTCAGGACTTAATTTCTGACTTGAATTAAATTAGGGAAGGTGAAGATCAGGTGTTTTCCAGAGAGCCCGAGCTACTGAAGCAGTCATTGTAGGTCATGGGAATGGTGTTCAGTGATTCAAGCTCAGTCCTCGTCCTTGTTGAGAAGGATCTTTTCTTGTAAGGTAAGCAACTCCAGTTTTTGGCACTGTTAGGAATATCTATATATGTCTGTATGTATGTGGAGCTGTGGAGAGTTAAGAGTACGGATGTCTCTTGAGGTTTACTGGAGTCTTTGCTGTCTGTCTCTTAGCAGTCTCCTTTTAAGTCTTGTTCTCTTCCTGATCAGTCTAAACCTGAATCAATTTTGAGTAACAAACATTGTGAAATGTAATGACATCCCAATGAGAGCAAGAAAACTGCCAGCATGTAACGTTGCAATTAAATTCCGAGGGTCTGGAAAAAGCAAGTACGTTGCTTCGTTGCATCAGTGTAGTTCCCTGTCCTCTGTGAAGTCTGAATCGTTACTGTAGGACACATGGTTAGTTGGAGTTTTTCAGGCCCACTTCGTGGAATAAAAAAAAAGCTTGGGGCCGTATAAGCATCACAAGGTGCTGTAGTCAAAAGAAAAGGAGAGGAGATTCTCTCCAGAAACCCCAGGCAAGCTGCGCAGAAGCTTGGTTTGAATACTGCAGCCACCTGGCTGCTTTTCTCTGGAGGCGCCGAAATATTTTTCGGTGCAGTTTTGCTTTGGTTTTAGTGTAAGTTAACTAGGGAAGACCCCCTCGCTCTTTCCTGAACAGAACAGGCTGCTGCATCCTCTAGTTAGAGTAACCCTTGGCTGTTCCTGGGTGGGTGAAGTGTCTCTTGGAGTAAGTCCCTTCAAAGTCCAGTAACAGGGCCTCTGAGCAAGGAGGGAAGGTGAAGCTCTGGTGTTTTCCAGACAGAGCCGGCTACTGAAGTGATGGTGTTAGGTGAAGAATCTAGTCCCAGCCATTTTGCCTTAGTTTTGGCCTAACTGTAAGTTGACTCGTTCAGATTTCCAGCTGCGCTTTTAATTGGTTGGGGTATGCTTTTTCTGCTTCCTATGTTAAACATTTATCAAGTGTTGTTAAGTAACATCTGTACTCGAGGGTTTTTATAAACACAGTGCAGACCAGTGTGGGTTGCTGATAAATTTTACTGAGACACAGTAGCCTCCACCCAGAACAGAAGAAGAGACCCAGAAATGATTGAACGTGTGATCAAGAGAAGATTATCAAGGAGAAAAGTCTTGTTTGTGGGTGCATGGTTCTATGAATTTTCTTCATCGAAACAGTCAGGAATAATTAATCACAGTAATAGACGGGCAGTTCATTAATCTTCACTTTCCAGCATGGAGCGTCTTGCCTTGAGAGGTTTGGTCCTGAAAGAAAAGGGAAAGCTGATTAGATTGGGACTGAGACAAGAAGAGAACAATGTAGCTGAATTTTTTCCAACTTTGTGTTGGCAATATCCCAGGAAATGTCACTTGAGAACTGAGCTGCGTCTTTCTGAACTGGTACTAAAAGCAACTGCTAGTGCAATCTTTTTAGACAAAACTAAGGTGCAAATTGGGGAGGTTTGAATCTCAAAATCGTGCTGTGGTAGGTGGGTATTGTACGTGCATGAAGTTGTCTAAAAGATTCAGACTCGTGTCAACAGCTAGAGGCCACAACCTTCCTGAAAAAGCCTGGTCTCCAGGCTGTATGCAGAAGAGGGACAGACCTGCTTTTCTTCCTTACATATGTGTTCAGTGATTGAGAAAGTCATGCAAAACCGTAGGATTTCAATAGTTGTACTTGCTTATCTTCACTTGAATCTTTTCTGTTGTTATTTGTAACCTTGTTCATCTTTATTTTGGTATGCAAACCACTGTTGCTAGTATACTCACCAGCAGCTGGGTAAGCAAGATAAGAGGGTATTCCTCTGCACAGGACTTGAATGCGTTTTCCATATGGGTGCAGGCTTTGGAGTCTGTTTTTGGAGACCCTGAAGTGATTCTCTATGGGTGGAAGCTGGTCAGGACCAGGTCCCTAAGGATCAAAGAAACAAACCCAGAAAACAGCATTTAGAAGAAGCAAAAATTTGTGCATTTGGAATTTATATGCCCATCTTTAACAGAGAAGGGGTTGTTCAGGTGCAGTAGTGCAGCTTCTCAAAGACTGGAGTGACTCAGGCCTGCTGAGAAGCTTGTCTTTGGTTCTTGGAGCCTGTTCTCCTCTCTGAGTAAGGAATGAGTACTTTCTGCAGGCAATTGAATAGCTTTCTTGCCGCTTTCCTTCACTGTCATACCTTGACTCCTTGAGGTGGTGCAGGAAACTGTTTACCAAGCAAAAGCCTCTCATCCATTTTAGCAATGATGCAGCTGTGTCTTGAAATTAGTTTGGTTGCAATGTAGCCCTGTTAAAATAAAAAAAGCTTTTTGTTGCCAACAATATACAGTGAAAGATAAGTGGGTTGCCGGAGAGAAGCACTGGTTAAACAAAGGCTTTATACAGTACAAGTAGTCATAGGGAAGGAAAATATTGGTTTTTCAATTCTGTTGCCCAGGTCAATGTGTCACGGAGTCTGACAAGGGACTTTGGTTGAGAGGTCAAGTAAATTGCCTTCTCCAGTAGTGCCACGTCTATGCTATGTTGTGCTGCTGGTGAAGGAATTCACTTCTGAAAACACCAGTGCATCGTACAGGATAGCAGGAACAACAGAATAGTTGAACAAGTACATTTTCAAGCATCTCCTCTAAAATCTTGTGAAGTTTTGTTGAAGCTTGGGTGTGTTTTCCAAAAGCTTTTGATGATTTTTGTTTGCTTTGAGCCATGGTGGCTGCCACTTACAGTCTTGACGTCCCAGACAGATTTCCAGGTCTCAGAGCCCTCTTGCAAGTCGGTTTTGACCCCAATGTCGATGAAAGAGTGGTGTGAGTTTTCACCATGGTGCTTCTTGAAGTTTTTCTGGCCGTTCTGATTCTTGAAAAAGATGAAAGGAGGCAAGGATTTAGGTTTGGGGATTCCCAGTAGTCTTTCACTCAGTAAAGCAATAGCTCTAGTAATCATGCTTTTTGGAGACACTAAACTGGATGCTCAGAGATAAGCTTGCAAGAAAAATTTCTAAGATTAAAATAATTCCTTGTTGTCCTTTCCTGGGAAGGAACTTGCAGGCAGAGGGCTACTTAGTGTATTTCACTGCACTTTGTGGTCAGATGCTTCATGCTAATATTTGTTTCTCTCCACACAATTGTTTTCACAGTGTTTGTACTAATCCCAAGACAGACTGATGTGGTGTCTAGCAACTGTCTGTTTTCCTTGCTATATCAGACCCTGAAATATTCTCTTTGGTGTGAAAACAAAGAGCAGGTTACTGCTAAGTATCAGATTTTAAATTACTGCTTTACTTTCAAAACCATATTTTTCAGAGGCTACAGCTAAAGCCCACTAGTTCTTATAGCAGCAGTGTATAATTGCTTGTAGCTCTATACTTACCCTGTTAGCAAGTGCTGCAGCCAGGAAAACTCCAAGAAGACAAGTAATCACAATCTGAAATGAACATTTGAAATTCACAGCACTTTAACATTGTGACTGCTTATCTTGCACCAAGTTTTTTGCTGTCTTAAAATAATTCTGACTTCCTGTTTAGCTTTGTGTACATGGTCACACTTTTCTGGAGTCTAGCTGAAGAGTATTTAAATATGCAGAATAATTTTTTGTTAATGAGCTTACATCAGATCATCAATTCCTATAAATTACTCTAAACCCCAGCAGTATACTTCACAGAGCTAAGATGATTGTTTAAACACAGTGGGGTTTAGATTATGTCCAGTCCCGGTTCAGTGAACTTGTTTTTATGCTCCAATTTATTACTCCAATTAGTCTCTTGAAGACAATCCCTCTGATATTGAATCTGTTACAAATTTCATCTATTTCAAAGGAAGATTTTTATGAGAAAGATCCAAATGTGACTCAGTGTTTAGCACTAACATTTTGGAATTTTGTCTGCAACAATTTCAGGCTGCTGTAAATACCCCTGCTTCACAGTCATGCACTTGGAGTCTCTCATGCTTCTTCCCCTACACTCTCATCACACAGCTGTGCTATAACTGTGTATAACTTGCTGAGACTGCTGACTTGCATCGCAGTAGTGAATGAGACAATATTGCCCTTTCAACATCTTCCATGAGCATCTCACCCTTGGAACAGAGCACTTCACTCCTTCACATTATTGTAGGCATATGGAGTGAAGTCATGGTCAAAAGTGAAATTTCACCCGTGCAGTCCCAACCCATTTGGCATTTTTACTCTGTAAGCCCTGCATAAATCAGTAGCAGATTGCGGGGTGCCAAAAAAAGACTCAAAATAATTTTTAAAACTGTCTAGCCTTAATAGTTTTATGAGAAAGTGATACATATACTTACAGTGAACTTCATTTTGATGGTAGGAGAGGCAAGAACTGCTGGTAGTTGATGTGTACTCTTACTTTTTATACAGTAACATCCCAAAGTTAAATCTTAAAATGGGTGTACCTTATTGGCATGTGCCCTGTGTTCACAGAATCATGACGGGTTTCCTGGGGAAGTGCTCTGATAAGAGGAGGCTTTGATACCAGCCTGATGGAATTCATTACCTGCATGAAGATGGAAGAAACTTGTCATGGTTACCATGACAATGTATTTCACAGTAAGTTTTGAATTGGGGAAAAACCCCACACCAGAGGCAGAGTATAGATGCCTAATAAAATTCGTAGTGATGCTTTGTGCCTATGTGACAAAGGACTCAGCCTGATATTTTATCCCTTTCTGATGCCATCTTTTAAATGAACGGAGGTGGTAATCTTGGTATGCTAAAATGCTAGGTCAGTCCCCAGAAATCATGAGGTTGGTTCTAAGTGATAGAAATGACAGTGTTCTTGTTAACATTCCATTCTGAGCTCCTTCAGTTAGGATCTGCTTTCCAACCTTCAGGCATGGCCTCTGTATCTTCAGAGAACCTCTTTGTGAAAGTAGTACCTGGTCATGGACTGAAGGCTAATTCTAGAAAGGGACCGTAAACTGGAGGTAACAAAAAAGGAGTAAGGGAGGAGCAGTAACCACAGGCGTTTTACGTCAACTAGTGTTTAGAAAGGAGATTTTAATATTTCTCTGAATTTGATAATTATATCCAGAGACACGGCATAAGAACTTATTTGCCCTGTTTGCTGTAGAAACTTTGCAAAAGGTTTAGTTTTCTTATCTGGCTAGTACAAATGTCTGAGTCTTTTTGCCCAAGAATAGTGTCTATTGCTGCTTAATAAACTAAGATAGATAGATAGCCTCAGATAATTTGCATGTGTTTCTCAGCTGTGCCTGTTAGAGAAGGAGCACTTTCAGAGGTGCTCATTCCCCTACTCTAAAAGTGCTGCTTGTTTAATAGCACTTCCATCAGTCCCTTTGTACACCAATTGTGCGCTTGACTGTAGTTCGGTGTGGGTTTGCGCCCTTGAGTTTCCTTTGCCTTGCCAGAATGCAGGATGGGGATTCGATGCCATTATAAACTGATGTCTCTGAACTAAGTTCTCCACTGTCATCAATTGCTGAGGATCATTGTTGCAGCTGTTGTTGGAAAAGCCAGGGAATCACACAATCACAGAATGGTAAGGGTTGGCAAGGACCTCTGTGGGTCATCTGGTCCAACCCTCCTGCCGCAGCAGGGTCACCTACAGCAGGCCGCAGAGGACCTTGTCCAGGCGGG